CAAAATTTGTTTATTTTATAAATGGGACCTATTAAAGGGTGCATACTATATAAGGGTAGGTATTTATTTCAACCTCTAAACCCGACGATAACTTATTTATAACACAGAATATCTTTATTTTGTGTAACCAAAATGTGTAAAACAAAATTTGATAAATTCCTGCTTTATACAGGGTGTCATGAAAGTTAACATGATTGAAAGATTTACTTTCTGGCAGTATTAAAAATCCAAACTATAGATGTCGCTTTGTAAAAATATTTAATTTAAATAATTTTTTAGATAATATGTGTCGAGGATAAAGTAAAGTATGCAACTCGCTTATAAACTTTACTAGGCACTCGTTTAATTAACCACTCTCTCGCAAGCTATCAAAAATAAAACAAACAATGCACATAGGTAGAATTCGGGGATTTAGGGAGACAAAAAGGGTTTATTTCAAAGTTAATTAATAAGAAAACTAATCCTTTACGGGAAAAATAGAAAGTCGAAAGAACAATAGACGACCCCTTTCACGGTCCCAGCAGAACATGTGCGTTCCCAATAATCAGTCGATACTTGAACGTCGCGCAAGCTGCTTAAACTCGTTCTCGACACCCTTACAAACACTATTTTACAAAGTCATTTTTTAGTGAATGAAAGTTCAATTATTAAGTGAATGTGATGGATATCGACAATTCAGGTATGTTACTTATAATTCTTAAAGAAATACTATAATAAATGTCAATATTTCGCATAATTATAGGCCATTAAAGATACACCCTTTTTTAACATACTTTTTATACTTTTTTCCGTTTCAAAAGTAAAAATGTTACCTTTCCAGGCCCGTCCGAGTATTTTTTCTTTTTGTAATTGATAAATAATTTATTTAGCTAAAAATTGAGAAAAAATTACGGTCCACTTTGGTCCACTTTGCGAAAAATTCCACTTGAATGTAATTTGGGCAGAAATCAAGAAATTTATAATTTACGTTAAAAATCTTATAATAGTTATTTACGTGTCAAGCTTTGTAAATGAATCTTTACGGGCGAGCTGGAAGTTTGTAGGGTGAGCGATGCAGGAGCGAACCCCATAATCCAGTGAGCCTAGTAAAGATTAATTGCAAAGCGTGACACGTACAAACTTTTATTTTCACCTTTAGATAACGATTTTTAAATTAAAATTTTATTTGTAGAATCCAAACAATTTTAGAGGCCATCACAAGCGGCATCCAAAAGTTTGATGAGTATGCAATGGAAACGGCAAAACTGTACGTGGATTTGTATGGGTGGCACCGTATGAGCCCAACAATGCATAAAATTTTATTACACGGGGCAATAATTTGCGAAAATGCCATTTTACCTATTGGCCAGTTTTCAGAAGAAGCTGCCGAAGCCCGGAATACGCATTTCCGGTCGTACCGCCTTAACTTTGCCGTAAATTTTCACGTGAAGAATGCAATCTAGACATATCACAGGTTACTTATGACATCCGACCCTCTCATCAGTTCTTTGAGAAAAAAAAAATTTCAAAATCGTTTTCGCAGGAAACTTTACGACTTTTGGTTTCTGCAGAGACGAACACAGAGGTAGCCTGTGATATATGTATGGAAAGCGATGACGAAGACATTTCATTTGGCTCGTAAATTACTTTAATTTTTATATGTGTAACTTTAATCAGTATTTATTATTAAGAATATGATTTTTTTAATTTGTGTCATATATTATGTTTATATTATGTTTTCAATCATATTTATGACTAATTACTTTTTGTTAAACTTGTTTTAAAATGTAAATTGCATAGTAAGAATTTGGAAAAATAATGAATTCCATGTAATTACTACATCTTGTATCATTTACTTCCCTTAAATATTCACTGCTCTGTATCTCAAAAAGTACTCATCCAATTTTGATTAAATTCAGCGTGGACTCATCTAAAAATACGTGCCGTAGATCAATAAAAAAACTTATTAGTTTACGAAAAAACCAGTGAGTTCAACTTTTAAATTTAAAAAAATGTGAAAATTCTACTACGTAAACCAATATGTCGACAAAACTTGGTAAAAATACCTTTTTCTATTTAGTTTAACCTATTAGACATTTTTTATCATGTCTCCTACTAAAAGAGATAATAAAATAATTTTGGCCGCCTAAGTGACCGAATTCTACCTATGTGCAATGCTTGTTTATTATAAAAATCTTAAAACCATATTGTTTATATTTGTAATGGTTGTAGTAAAATCATAAAATTATTTATTTAAAACAACTTTAATTATATTTATTATTATATATATATTTTAAAAATAACACAAACATAAAATGTCAATAAAACTTTTGAAACCTTTCAACTGTCAAAATTTAAAAACGTAAATAAACAAAGTACTTACGGTAGCAGATGTCCTGATGCTACGGTGAAAAAAATCCCAAAACGCTGTTTAGATTTTTCTCGATTGTTACAATAACATGTCCACTAAAAGCATGAGGTTTATAACAGCAGAAGAGACGGTGACGTTTGATCTAGAGAGCGGCGTTAGCAGGACACGGCCGTCGCGACGTAACTGGGGGTGGAATGATGCGTCCCAACCCCCGACGTAGCGGCGGCTCGCGCGCGCGCATTAGCGACGTCAATAATATATTGTCACGTTGGAGCGGCTATTAGCGAGGAGATAAAAAATTTGAACGCGGGAGCGCGGACGGGGGTCCAAGTTTCTCGAGAAATTTTTAGGATTAAGTAGACCAAATTATATGAGCCTACTTCTAAGAAGAACCAAATAATAATTATTCGAATTCTCATTATTATTATTACTAAAAAGAATAATTAGAATCAGTCGAGTAGTGAATACATTTTAATGCAAAAAATGGCAAAGGCGGTACTCCCCTTTTGTAAAAAATAAACTTTATTCTATTAAGGTTAATTAATAGCTAGCTTAACTAGACATTCTTAAAATTGTTATGGTGCAGCTCAAATTGTCATGCTTAAAACAAGAAACCAGCTTAAGTTGACATTTTTTATGCTGATTTAACTATAGTTAGCTATAGCTTAAATTTACATTCTTAAACAGATATATCTAGCTCAACTAGATATTTTTAAAACGGTTATTTATAGTCCAGCTTAAATTGACAAAAGTTAATTCTAGCTTAAGTTGACATTCTTAATGCTGATTTAACTATCTTAATAGGACAATATTACAATAGATAACTTGGCTTAACTAGACAAGACTGTTATACTCTAGCTTAATTTGACATTAAAAAAAATAATTCTAGTTTGAGTTGACATTCTTAAAGCAGATAAAGCTAGCTTAACTACACATACTTAAGACTTAGTCTAGCTTAAATTGACATTCTTAAAAGAGTTCCACCATAAGTTGACATTCTTAATGCTGATTTAACTAGCTCAAATTGACATTCTTAAAACAGATAAATCTAGCTTAACTAGACATTCTTAAAATTGTTATAGTGTAGCTTAAATTGTCATGCTTAAAAGAGGTTATTCCAGCTTAAGTTGACATTTTTTATGCCAATTTAACTAGCTTAAATTGACATTCTTAAAATAGTTCATTTTAGCTTAAGTTGACATTCTTAATGCTAATTTAAGTAAATATCTTAATAGGGCATTATTAAAATTATCTTAATGGGGCATTAATAATTATTAAAACAGATACAACTGGCTTAACTTAAGTTGACATTATTAAAAAAATATTTCAAATTTAAGTTAAGCTAGCTTAACTACACATACTTAAAACTGTTAGTCTAGCTTAAATTGACATTCTTAAACAACTAGACATTTTTAAAACTGTTATTTATAGTCCAGCTTAAATTGACATTCCTTAAAAAGTTTATTCTAGCTTAAGTTGACATTCTTAGTGCTGATTTAACTATCTAAATAGGTCAAAATTAAAATAGATTTAACTAGCTTAACTAGACATTCTTAAGAATGTTATACTCTAGCTTAAGTTGACATTAAAAAAAATTATTCTTGTTTGAGTTGACATTCTTATAGCAGATAAAGCCAGCTTAGCTACACATAATTAAGACTGTTATAGTCCAGCTCAAATTTACATTCTTAAAAAAATAATTCTAGCTTAATTGAGAATGTCACCTTATTATTATTATATTAATTTTGTCTACTTTGCATATTTTAGTGCATTATTTTTTAACTTTCCAGGTCATTAACATTTTTTGTATTAAAAAATTGCAAAATAAACGATTTAGTTTTAATTTTATAAATTTGTTTCTTAAAAAAACATTTTAAAAATATTTTTTAAGTTTTATTATTTCTAGAGCTCTAGATTTAATTTCTAAAATTAGTTTTTTTTCAACCATTTTCGTGAACTCGTCAAAAATTGTACATTAACTATGGTGTTATTTTATTATTTTTATTCACGAAAATGCCGCACTTACACCTTACTGTATAAAATTTGACAAAAAAAAATTGTTAAATTATCCAAATTTTATACAGGGTGTCCCAGAACTTTAAGTTTCTATTCTATTATAGGACAACTATTAAAACTAATTTCTTATATTTCTCCACTTTAACTTTAAATCTAAATCCAATTTTAACTTCTTTTGTAGTAACTAGATTCCGAAAATCTTGTTAGATGTTGTTAACTTTTACAACGGAAAACGCTATTTGGCGAAATCGTAAAAGAAGCAGTATCGAAAAATAACAGGTGTCGCGACATCTAGGGTTACAAAAGAACATGAAGAATATTTCTTGAAACGCGATACTTTTAACACTGCTACGGTCGCTGTCTTATTAAGTTAGTCAGCAAATTTCTCAACTGAAAAATATTTAACTTGATAAATATTGTTACTGTATACAATGATCAATATTAAAATTGAAACATCACCCCTTTAATGAATTAAAAAACAAAGGGACCAAAAAGGGTTTAGAATGAACTCCCCCAAGTTTTTGACTGCTAATTTCATTCTTATCGCTTTTTAAAAGGCGAGAATTAAAGTAAAAAGTTGTCTTAAGTGCCTTAAAAACGATTAAGGGTAGTTGAACTCAAAATAAAAAGGCGTTCTTGGTATGTTTTTTTATTAAAATTAATTATTTTCTTCCGAAAGTGTTTTGCACAAAAGCCGGCGGTAGATTTTCCATTAGACTCAATGGACTTACCTCTACAGCAACCATTTCATCATCTGACAACCAACTTAAGTTAACCAAGTGCTAAAAAACAAATATAGTATCAACCTAAATAAAATAATAAATTAATTGCCAATACCTTATACTTAGAAATTGAATAAAATCCATTGGAATTTTGCGACACTGATGAATCCAATTTGGGGACTTTGGCTTCATTTTCCACACCACCTTTCATGACATCATCTTTTTTAATGATGTTTATGACGCTATCGTCGTTTAAAATAATGACGTTTTCGTTTTTTGTATCGAAGGAAACGTTTCTTATTGGGTAATTCCTCGATGTCAAATGTCGCGGTGGATTCTTTTGGAGGAACCTACTGAATGGCGTGAACTCTTTTTTCTTGATGTTGTATTCTATAATCTGAAAGAAAAATTTGAGAAAATTTCAGTAAACTAAAAAAAACTCACCTTATTGTCTGCATATGTTAAAACGATATTTAACAAAGTCGGGTGTACTGCTAGAGCCGTTAAGGGAACGTGGTACTTTGGCAGTTTGCAGTAGAACTTCCAACCGTCATTTTTCTTATTTATTATTACAACAACATTTCCATCGGAGTCACCAGCTATCAAGTATTTATTGCACTGCGACACAGTTAGGTGAGTTATACTGTCCACAATTTCTAAAATATACAATTTTCAGAAACAACATAAATTTATTGTAAAATGTGAATACCTGAGGAATTAAACAGGATAAATTGTGCTTCCTCTACTTTTTCTTCATTTACATTGTAGACCTTCAGACCGCCATTGGAAGGCGCCACTATTAGTTGTTTATTATCAGGGGTGAAAGTTGAGTTTACACATTTTACATCTTTACAATCAATGGATACTTTTTTTAGACTTGGCTTTTCAACGTCCTAAAAAGTAGTATAATAATAAAACATTTTTTCTAAAATGAAGTATTTTTGAGAAAGAAAAAATTCAAAAGTTGTGTTTGATAAATTTTTTGAAATAAGAGAAAAAAAAACGACGCTACCATGAATCAAACCTGGGTAAGCACAATTCCGCGCACGCGGTTTCAATTGACATTCTTAAAAGGGTTGATTCTAGTTTAAATTGACATTTTTAAGGCTTATTTAACTAGCTTAAATTGGCATTTTTAAAACAGATATATCTAGCTTAACTAGACATTCTTAAAACTGTAGTAGTCTACCTCAAATTGACATTCTTAAGACTGTAATAGTCTAGCTTAACTAGACATTCTTAAAACTACTCAAATTGACATTTTTAAATACTGATTTAACTAGCTTAAATTGCTATTCTTAAAAGAGTTAATTCTAGCTTAAGTTGACATTCTTAATGCTGATTTAACTAGACATTCTTAAGACTGTTATATTCTAGCTTTAGTTGACATTTTTAATGCTGATTTAACTAGCTTAACTTGCCATTCTTAAAAGAGTTAATTCTAGCTAAAGTTAACATTCTTAATGCTGATTTAACCATTTTAATAGGAAATTATTAACATTATATAGCTAGCATAACTAGACATTCTTAAGACTGTTAAAAAAAATTATTCTAGTGTAAATAACTAGACATTCTTAATACCAAAGCTGTTCCTTTTCAAGCATTCTTAATACTGTAAAAGTCTAGCTCAAATTGATATTCTTAAAAGAGGCAATTCTAGCTTTAGTTGACATTTGTTATGCTGATTTAACTAGCTTAACTTGCCATTCTTAAAAGAGTTAATTCTAGCTAAAGTTGACATTCATAATGCTGATTTAACTATTTTAATGGGACATTATTAAAACAGATATAACTAGCTCAACTACACATTCTTAAGACTGTTATGGTTTAGCTTAAATTGACATTATTAAAAAAATAATAATTCTAGTGTAAGTAACTAGACATTCTTAATACCACAGTTGTCCTTTTTTGAGTATTTTTAATACTGTTATAGTCTAGCTCAAATTGAAATTAAAGAGTTAATTCTAGCTAAAGTTGAAATTCTTAATGCTGATTTAACTAGCTTAACTAGACATTCTTAAGACTGTTATAGTCTAGCTTTAGTTGACATTTTTAATGCTGATTTAACTAGCTAACTTGCCATTCTTAAAAGAGTTAATTCTAGCTAATGTTGACATTCTTAATGCTGACTGTTATTAATTGACATTCTTAAAAAAATAATTCTAGTGTAAGTAACTAGACATTCTTAATACCAAAGTTGTCCTTTGTCAAGTATTTTTAATACTGTTATTGTCCAGCTCAAATTGAAATTGTTAAAGAGTTAATTCTAACTAAAGTTGTCATTCTTAATGCTGATTTAACTAGCTTAACTAGACATTCTTAAGACTGTAATAGTCTAGCTCAAATTGACATTCTTAAAAGAGGTAATTCTAGCTTTAGTTGATATTTTAGCTTAACTTGCCATTCTTAAAAGAGTTAATTCTAGCTAATGTTGACATTCTTAATGCTGATTTTTAACTATTTTAATAGGGCATTCTTAAAACAGATATAGCTAGCTTAACTAGACATTCTTAAGACTGCTATAGTCTAGCTTAAATTGACATTCGTAAAAGAGTTAATTCTAGCTTAAGTTGACATTAATAATGCTGATTAAACTAGTTTAAATGGACATTCTTAAAACAGATTTATCTAGCTTAACTAAACATTTTTAAAACTGTTATAGTCCAGCTTAAATTTACATCGTTAAAGGAGTTTATTCTAACTTAAATTGACACTCTTATACTGATTTAAGTAGCTTAAATTGACATTTTTAAAACAGATATATCTAGATTAACTAGACATTCTTAAAACTCTTATAGTTTAGCTTAAATTGACATTTCTTAAGTTAATTCCAACTTAAGTTGACATTCTTAATGCTGATTTAACTAGCTCAAATTGATATTCTTATAACAAATAAACCTAGCTTAACTAGACATTCTTAAAACTCTTATAGTTTAGCTTAAATTGACATTTCTTAAGTTAATTCCAACTTAAGTTGACATTCTTAATGCTGATTTAACTAGCTCAAATTGACATTCTTATAACAAATAAACCTAGCTTAACTAGACATTCTTAAAAGAGTAAATTCTAGCTTAAGTTGACATTCTTAATGCTGATTTAACTAGCTTGAATTGATATTCTTAAAACAGATAAATCCAGCTTAACTAGACATTCTTAAGACTTTTATAGTCTAGCTTAAATTGACATTCTTAAAATAGTTAACTCTAGCTTAAGTTGACATTCCTAATGCTGATTTAACTAGCTTAAATTGACATTCCTAAAACAGAGATAAATCTAGCTTAACTAGACATTCTTAAGAGTAAATTCTAGGTTAAGTAGACCTTCTTAATGCTGATTTAACTAGCTTGAATTGATATTCTTAAAACAGATAAATCCAGCTTAACTAGACATTCTTAAGACTTTTATAGTCTAGCTTAAATTGACATTCTTAAAATAGTTAACTCTAGCTTAAGTTGACATTCCTAATGCTGATTTAACTAGTTTAAATGGACATTCTTAAAACAGATATATTAAGCTTAGTTAGACATTCTAAAAACTGTTAATGTCTAGCTTAAATTGACATTCTTAACACAGGCATATCTAGTTGACATTCTTAAGATAGTTTTATCTAGCTTTCTGTATTATTCTTATTTATATTTTGTTTTGTGTTTGTAGAAAATGTTATATTTTTAGTTAAATTTTTTATATATGCAAGACTGAATTTTTTAAGAGCGCGCGCGGAATTTTGCTAGCTACAAAGAAACGCATTGTGACAATGATTGTTCGTGTTACAGAACTTTGAATTTTTAAAGTGATAAAAATTCGAAGTCGAAAATATAATTGAGCAACTTACTTACCAAATTTAAGTTGACTAATCTAGTACCACTGCAGGTGCTAAACATCACCCATTTTCCATTATTTGAAATACAAGAAGTGCAAATTCCTTCTCTATCTTTCTCCCCATCATACCCTTCAACCAATTTATGCAAAACCATGCATTTTACAGGCTTATTCTTGATTGGAACGACCCCTAAAACTTCGTTATTTACGTCTTCCTCACTTTGACCCAACTTGTAGATCTCCAAATGCTTAGGATACCTCAGCAGAATGTGCCTGGATTCTGAGCTTATTTGAGAGCAAAAATTTTGTAGTGGCGGGTTTTTCAGTAGGGTTTTAGGCGGGTGGTAACTGCAAGCCAAATACCCGTCTATTCCGCCAGAGTACAGTTTTTGATTGACCAGCAAGAGCGAGCGAATGTCGTGTTCGTGGATTTTACGCTGTATACTTCTCACCCACTTCTGACTTCCACCTTTGACGTTCACCTGAACGTAATTTATAATGTTTGGATCCACTCCAGCGCAACATAGCGACGTTTGGTCCTCCGATAAACAAATAGATAAAATATCGGCCTTATGGGACTGATAACTCTCTATTTGTGCACCCACTTTACCATCCCAAAACGTTAATTTACCCCTGGAATCCCCACTGATAACCGTAAAATCGTTTGTGATCGCCAGACACCATACTATCGTCGGCTTTTTCGTTTCCGTCCTACCAGTGGACATTTTATGCAAGGCATGACCTAAAAATATTACACAGGGTGTCTTAAAATAGCCTGCCCAAAGGGTCAAGGTAAATTTCAAGAGTTAATTTACTTTTAAAGCTGCCACAGAATTTCTGCTCTATCAAATGTAGGTAGGCAACCCAGATTATAAATCAACTGAAGAGTATAAATAAAAATGTTTTTATTTATATTACTAGACTAATAAAACAAACAGTGCATATTTTTTATGATACAAAATATTAAAATCCTAGAACTAGGGAAAAATTCGCAACACTGGGTAAAAAACTTTTCTGGTCAAAACTAATTTGTGACTAATTGACCTGAAGCCTTGTTTTTCTGTCATTTTATTCAGAAATAAATGCTCTACAAAAAAATATTTTCGTAAACATATCCGTTCAAAAGATATCTTAGGTCAAAGTTGTTGGAAATTAACTAATCTACAAAAAAGTTTTTTTTTTTTTTTTTTTGATAAATGTAAGCGTTTCATAGATCCCTTATGGTCTAGTGGGATACAGAAAAAGGTATATTACCTAAAAGATTATCATTAGGTTTTTAATACTGTAAACTAATTTTACCTCAAGGTAGTAAAATGTAAAGGATTACAAATAGCTACATGATTTGATTTAAGAAACTAATAATTTAACTAAAACAAAGAAAATGTTTATAACAAAATTAATTATTGAATGATTTTATATGTAATATTAAAAAATTAACAATAAATTATATTTATTATAGTTAAGATTATAAGAGCGCAATCTATAGCTGTTTAACAATTTTAAATACAAAATTCATAGCGGGCGGCTTTTCATAAACCACTATAACTTTTTTAGGTGTCAAAAGATGTATCAATAACCATATATATATATATATATATATATATTATATATTATATAGCCTTATTCGTTATTCTTTGGGTTACAATTTGGTGTAAATTTTTCTGGACCAACATGGATAGCATTACTTATCCTTAGTTAAGTGTAAAATAATGATTTTACAAGGTATTATATTATTTAATATAACTTTATAAGTACAATTAATAAAATAATTTTACAAAACACACAATTTTTTATTACAAACCCTTTAATTTAAACTACATTTTAATACATATTTGTTATGTATAAAAAGTAACAGCGCCTTAAAGGCAGAGAAAATTCCATTCAAATCTAAAATCTGAATTTTTTCTGATTGCTTTACTTTTTGAAATAAAATGTTTTTTTAACTTTTTCTTTTGGAATCTTACAAATTAAGCGTTTTTCTTTACATTGGTGTATAATTTTTTTGACCAGCTTTGATCTAGCTTTTACTTTAGTTTTTTGAGGTATCTGATTATGTTGGTACTGTATTTTAATATATTTTGTTATTTTTAATATTTAAAATTGATACTCCTGTCCAATGCCTTAATTTATCATATAATTTTTAGGAATTATAAAAAACACCAAAGATAAAAAATTCTAAACAAAAATCATTTTTTAAAACAAACCAGCATTTTGATGAAATAATTAATTTGTTCTGCATAAATCCACTAAATTATTTTGTTTTGTGGCCAATTATAAATTTAGGGTCCCTTTGCCAGCTAAACCCCCCAAATTTTTATAATAAAAAAAAAACAGTACCTGTGGCAACATTCCAGATCCTAATAGCATCAATACTTCCAGAAACAATAAATTCACCACTGGGATCAAACTTTAAACTTATAATTCTTCCCTCCTGTTTGTCCAAAAACTTTTCAAAAATAATTTCATCGTTATCAACATTAAAAACGTTCAAATACCCTTGTTCAGTACCAACGGCTATCTCATTTTTACTATTGCTGTCCATGCAAAATGCTGCCTCTCCAGTTACAGTGGTTTTTTGCTTAACCTCCAATTTATACAGGTCATATTCGACTAAAAACCCATGCAAACCAACCGAGAAAAGTCTATTGTCACTCCAAGTTAACCCTTCGATACTGTAATTTTCTACAGTTGAAGCTATGGTTTTTTCAATGAAAGCGTTGTGACTTATATCCCAGATTTCCAGGGAAGCATCGGATCTACAAAACTTTACTTAAGAATCTCTGTTTGAAACATAAAAGTATTAAAAACCTCACCTTGACACAGCCAATTTACTTTTCGACTTTAAATAAGCCATGTTGTAGATGGCACGCGCCTCCGGCTTGTAGAACCGCACATTATGAATCTTACACAAAGACATTTCACTAAATTACATTAAAACCGGACAATTAACAACAAAAATAGAGAATAACAACAAGAAATTCAACCAATATAACCTCAAAAAACAAGCCTGTCATAAACACGTGCGTCACTGAATAATCACTGTTGCCAATTAAATATCCCTGTTCAAATCAAAGGATTGTTTATTGTTTGTGACGAATAAAAAGTGTTTTTAACGAGGAAAATCTGTGTTATTTTGTGTTGTTTGTTGTTAATTATATTTATTAAAATATGACTATTCTTATTAAAGTGTGAGTATTGGTTGAAATTTTAAATTAGCCTAGAATTTTCGATTTTAAAGGTAATTTCCCGCAATTATTATCAAACGTCATATTATTGTGTTGGTAACAGAGAAAAATGTCTGTTTAGGTTGGTAATTTGTTTTTTCTAACCTTAAAATAAACGTCATTGTATTTTGGGGATGCTTTCCATGGTTTTTTATAATCTGTGGTTTTTCCTTGTTAATAAATAAACCGGGGTCTGTTAAAATGGGTCCGCCGAAACGTTACGGCAGCAAAGGCGAAAGTAAATCGAAGAAACGCAAGAAGGAGGAAGAAGAATGGGCGTACGTAGAAGAGGAGGACACAAACGATAATGAAGGGGCCGCCGTAGTTGCGGCGGCAGCTAGAGATGCGGAAAAGAACGACCAAAACATACAGGAGGACGAATTCGGCGCTAAAGATTACAGATCCCAGATGAGTTTGAAGCCGGACAATCAATCGAGGCCTCTGTGGGTCGCCCCAAACGGGCACATCTTTTTGGAGTCGTTTTCACCGGTTTACAAGCACGCGCACGATTTTTTGATCGCCATTTCCGAGCCGGTTTGCCGGCCTGAGCACATTCACGAGTATAAATTGACAGCTTACTCGTTGTACGCTGCTGTTAGTGTTGGATTGCAAACTAATGATATTGTCGAGTATCTTAAGAGGTATGTATGTTTTGTAATTATGTGGCTTTATGCTTTACGTGTAGTCTAATAAATAATTAGCATTGTTGTTTTTTAAAGAACATGAATCATGTTACATACAGGGTGTCTGGGAAAAGGAGGTCAATCCGTTAACCATATATTCCTTAAGTTAAAACAATAAGACTTTCATAATACCATTTTTCAATTTAGAGCTTCATGTTCGATATACAGGGTGACAAAGTTTGAAATTTAAATAATTTGAGTAATTGATAAGATATTAAGTTTAAATTCGGTACACTACTTCAACATAAATAGTTACATTTTTTGAGACCAACAAAACAAAAAACAATTGTCAAATAATCAAAATAGGGGGGTCCAGTACTCACTGACTCCCCCTATTTTTTAGTACGTGCGCCAATGACTTCTAAACAGTATTTTTTCAGGTAATCATTTATTGTTGAAATTTTTTTGTCTCTTATAAATTTTTGATAAAATGATTTGTTTTATAGATAATTTGTAAAGTATGGGTCAGTCCATATCAAACTTTTAATACTTAATATTTACGAGATATCGTTATTTTTGTAAGTACTTGCAAGACCCAAATTTATCGGAATTTTTTTGATTTTCAAAAGATAATAAAACAAAAACCACCTATCGAAAAAAATTCATATATGGGATTTTTGAGTTTTTTAGTGAGGTAAACAAATTTACCAAAAATTATCAAAATCGGAGATGGTGGGGGAAGAACCTTTGGTTGATTTGATATGGACTGACCCATACTTTACAAATTATCTCTAAAACAAATCATTTTATCAAAATTTTATAAGATACAAAATTTTTTTAACAATAAATGATTACCTGAAAAAATACCGTTTGGAAGTCATTGGCGCACGTACTAAAAAATAGGGTTAGTCAGTGAGTACTGGACCCCCCCTATTTTGATTATTTGACAATTGTTTTTTGTTTTGTTGGTCTCAAAAAATGTAACTATTTATGTTGAAGTAGTGTACCGAATTTGAACTTAATATCTTATCAATTACTCGAATTATTAAAAAAAATCAGTTTTAAATTTCAAACTTTGTCGCCCTGTATATCGAACATGAAGCTCTAAATTGAAAAATGGTATTATGAAAGTCTTATTGTTTTAACTCAAGGAATATATGGTTAACGAATTGACCTCTTTTTCCCGGACACCCTGTATATGGTAAAAATAAATGTTTGTTAAACACAAAATTGAACAAAAAAACCCAAAATATAAATTTATTAAGAATGCCTTTAGAATGTCAACTTAAGCTGGAATTAACTCCTTTAAGAAATTCTAGTTAATCTTAGTTATAAGAATGCCAATTTAAGCTAGATAAGTTAGGTTTTAGGTATGTCAATTTAAGCTGGACTATAACAGTCTTAAGAATGTCCAGTTAAGCTATACATATGTTTTAATAATAAATATCAATATTAAAAATATTAACGTAAGCTAGAAGTAACTCTTTTAAGGGCTGGTTTTCCAATCTTTGGTTAAGTTCCAGTTAGTCTATCTGACAGTTAAATTTTATTTCGATTGTTATGAGAACAATAGTATCCATGGAGATTATCTGCTAGATAACTAACTGCAACTTTAACTGGGCATTGATAAACCGGCCCTAAGAGTATCAATTTAAGCTAAACTATAACAGTGTTAAGAATGTCTAGTTAAGCTAGATAAGTCAGCATTAAAAATGTCAAGCTAGAATGGCCCCTTTTAAGAATGTCAATTTAAGCTAGACTATAGCAGTCCTAAAAATGTCGAGTTAAGCTAGATATATCTGTCTGAATGTCAATTTAAGCTAGACTATAGCAGTCTTAAAAATGTCTAATTAAGCTAGATAAATCTGTTTTAAGAATCACAATTTAAGCTGGATAAATCAGCATTAAGAATGTCAACTTAAGCTAGAATTAACTCTTTTAAATAAATAAATAAATTTATAGAATAACTATAGAAGTATTAATGTCTAGTTAAGCTAGATATACACTGCGCGTCAAAATAACGCAAAAAAAGTAAGAAAAATCCAACTGTAAAACGCCTTTACCAATTTTTATAAAATTTTGAATAAATATACTAACTTATATCTTAGTTTACGTGTTGATGGGTTTTTTGAAAAAATATCCTTAAAGCCCTTATAGGGATTTTTTTTAAGGTAATAATGCTGTGAAAGACTGTATTTTTGTTAGTATATCCTGAAAATTTTGTACAAATCAAACGAACAGTAATGAAAATACAGCGCTTCAAAGTCGTCAAAAATGACTACATTTTAGCAAAATAATCAAAAAGGGATCATTTTTACCGACTTAAAGCGCTGTATATTAGTTACTGTTCGTTTGATTTGTACACAATTTTCAGGGTAAACTAACAAAAATACGGTCTTTAACAGCATATTTTTTATTTTCTCCAAAACAAATTTCCCTATAAACGTTTTTTTATTATGAAATAAAAGGGCTTTAAAAATATTTTCTCGAAAAACCCTCGAAATATAAGTTAAAGTATTTTTATATAAAATTTCATAAAGATTGGTAAAAATGTTTTATAGTTCAAATTTTTTTACTTACTATGCGTTAATTTTGACGCGAAGTGTATCTGTTTTAAGAATGACATTTAAGCTAGATAAGTCAGCATTAAAAATGTCAATTTAAGCTAGATAAATCAGCATAACAATGTCAATTTATTTAGTTTAGTTAAGCTAGACATCTGTTTTAAGAATGTTAAGTTAAGCTAGATAAGTCTGTTATAAGAATGTAAATTTAAGCTACATAAATCAGCATTAACAATGTCAACTGAAGCTAAAATTAACTGTTTTAAGAATATCAATTAAAGCTATGCTATAACAGTTCTAATAAAGTGTAGTTAAGCTAGATATATCTGTTTTATGAATGTCAATTTAAGCTAGATAAATCAGCATAAAAAATTCCAATTTATGCTAGATAAATCAGCATAACGTCAACTAGAACAGCTAGAACTAGAACAGCTAGAATTATGTCTTTTAAGAATATCAATTTAAGCCAAACTATAACAGTCTTAAGATTGTCTAGTTAAGATAGATATAACTGTTTAAAGAATGTCAAGTTAAGCTAGACTATAACAGTCCTAATAATGTCTAGTTAAGCTAGATATATCTCTTTTAAGTATGTCAATTTAAGCTAGACTATATACGTCTTAAAAATGTCTGGTTAAGCTATATCTGTTTTAAGAATGTCAATTTAAGCTACATAAATCAGCATTAACAATGTCAACAAGCTAAAATTGACTTTTTTAGGATTATCAGTTTAAGCTAGACTATAACAGTCCTAATAATGTCCAGTTAAGCTAGTTAAATCAGCATTAATAATGTCAACTTAAGAATCTGTAGTTAAGCTAGACAATGTCATTAAGCTAAAATATATCTGTCATTTGTTCAATAGAGCAATGCTTTTTATACTTAATAATAATAATTAGTTAAATATGGATTGTTGATTTTTGTTATTTTAGATTGAGTAAAACTACAGTTCCGGATGGTATTATTGAGTTTATACAGCTTTGTACCCTCTCATATGGCAAAGTTAAGTTGGTGTTGAAACACAACAAATATTTCGTGGAGAGTCCATTTCCCGACATTCTCCAGAAGTTGCTGAAAGACCCTGTCATACAGGAGTGCAGATTGAGGAGAAACTTGGAAGGGGAGAGCGAAGAGTTAATTACGCAGGTGCAAGACAAAAAGATCGTGCCGTCTTTCGGCGCAAAACCCAGTGGTAGCGCCGAAACTCCAGCAGAAGCCGCCCCTGTGCCGGACGACATCACAAACTTCTACGAAAAAATCGACAACGAGGAGGACGAGGAAGAAACGAACCTGGAAACGGTGTCGTTCGAAGTGAATCAGGAGAAAATCGAAGTCATACAGAAGAGATGCATCGAGTTGGAGCATCCCCTATTGGCCGAGTACGATTTCAGGCACGACACTCATAATCCCGACATTAACATCGATCTGAGGCCCGCCGCTGTGCTGAGGCCGTATCAGGAGAAAAGTTTAAGGAAGATGTTTGGAAATGGGAGAGCAAGGTAAGTTATTAGAAATAGAAGAGAAAAATTTTGAAACTTTTTAAAATAATTGTTATTTATATGCTTCTAAAATAAATATACATGAGTTTTTATGAAAATTACACAACTAAAATGGTTTTTATTTATGAGAAAAAAAATAGGCAGCATCTAAATCTTACATGTCATTTTTTTTTAAGTGGTTGGGTTCAGGTTAAATATTAATTTAAAAATGTAAAACTTTGAAAACACATTTAGAAGAGTAAAAAAGTAAGAAAAAACCTGTTTGAAAAAAAAATTATAAAAAATTAGGACTTTTTCTCACTTTTAGTATTTGTTCTATTATTTTTTAAAAAAGTGGTTGTGGTTTAGGTTAAAAATTAATTTAAAAATCTGAATTTTTGGGAAGTACCTACCTTCAGGATAATTATTGACATTATTAGCACATCTTTTTTTAAAATAATAAGCATTAAATAAAATAAATTTTGTTTATTTTTTGGAAGGGCGAGGAGGGGCATGTTGTGTCCTGGTTTTTCATTTTAGAAAGTTGGTAACCTTATATACAGTGTGTATTAAAACGAATAGATACACTTAAATAAAACAAGTGCCAAACCCCGCCCACTTTGATTGAATTTGTTTGCTTGCCGTATCATTGTCGTATGATCTGTGCGTCAGTTTAAGAAGTGCACTGAGACTTTGCGTACGTCTTTGTAAGAATAAAAAAGTATTTATGGATTTCAAGAGCTCAGGGCTAATAATCTCAATGAATTAAGGGTGCAAATCTTTAATACATTGGGAGATATTAGTCCTGAAATGCTGTTTAACGTGCGCAGGAATTTTTATGATAGGCTAGGGTATTGTTTAACTGCTGCTGGTGGTCTATTTGAACATTTAATTTAGAAAAAAAGTTATTTTCGTTATTTTAGAATTATTTTTGTTTGAAAATTTATAGGTTTTATTTTTATCGAATTCGTTTGTTTTGTTTTAATGCATTTCTGCAAATAAAAACTAAGTATTGTTTAAAATCCATTAAATTCCAGTTAATGACGAAAATGTATTTCTTAAAAACTATACACATTTCCCTACGACAGCGTCGGAGCTTCTGAACAAACACAGTAGATTAAACTGCATGCCCTTGTATCTGGCTGCATGCCGCGCTGTTGCCATAGGCTATTATTGTTTCCTAAAAGGGTTGTTTTTCTTATTTTTTAATATTAAAAGTAATAAAATTAACTAAATCAAATTATTTTTGACATATTATTAATTTTTTTGTTATTTTTAAAGTTTCAAACAAATAAAATTGAACTATTTAACTATTTCTGAACTCTTCTGATTTAAAACAACCACGTTTAAACCACGCCCAATTAAAGTTTGTTTTTTTTTCTCTGATCAGAATATAATTTGTCATCCTTGTCTCCAGCCTTACTTACTTGATTCTATACAGTCTGTATAGTATACAATTCAAAATCACTATAATCAGAATCAATACTAACAAGTGGTTAGTATTTAAAAATGTAACTACTTTTTTAACTACTCTCTCCGACATCTTACAGCTACCAAAATGGCAAAATGACTCAAAGCTATTAAATTTAATAAAACACATGAAAGACGCCTTATTATTATTATTATTTCAATTTTATTGAAAAATAATAAATATGTATGCTTAGGATTTAGGGATAAAAAAACAAAAATAGAATTTTTTATAGTTACTTTGTGGTAGAACTTAACAAAATATAAAAAAATAAATCAAAAACAAAACATTAATAATCAGAATTATAAATAACATTATAATATATTAAATATTTTGATTTTAAAAAACATGCGTTCGACTGGAGCCGATGATGGCAAATTGGTGTTGTATTTGATAAATATTTGTTTAATTAACTTATAGTCATGGATCATTTCTATATTATTTCTTTTGTCTTCCAAGTATTGTAATATTTCTAATTCCAAGTTGTTTTTTATTAAATCTTTCTCCATTTTTGTATGGTTTTTATTATCATTTTTGACAGTTTCTACCTCTTTAAAATCAAAGAAATCATTTTCAGGTTGGCTGAATACTAAAGTGATTACGACTGAGTAGTTTTTTACTTTTTTAAATACTTTTTACGAATATTTTATTAAGTAGTTAAATCCCTCAAAAGTAGTTAAAATATGTAAAAGTAGTTAAAATGAGTAGTTAACTACTTTTTATAAATTTTTTATAAAGACCTAAAATAATCGAGTATAACTTCTAGGTAAAAAAGTAGAATAGGAATATTTTTACAAAAAAAGTAGATGACTACATTTTTAGCTGAAGAAAATTTGCAGCTACTTTTGAAAGCTCCGTGCGTTTACAAAAACCACCATGCAGTGTTTTTTATTTACATCACTAATTAGAAAATATTTTATTTAGATCTGGTGTTATTGTGTTACCTTGTGGTGCTGGTAAATCCCTAGTGGGAGTCACCGCTTGTTGCACAGTGAGGAAAAGGGCTTTGGTGCTCTGCAACTCGGGCGTATCGGTGGAACAGTGGAAGCAGCAATTCAAAATGTGGTCCACAGCTGATGACAGCCTGATTTGTAGGTTCACATCTGAGGCGAAAGACAAACCAATGGTAAGAACAACTCATCATCGTAATTTGGGTGAGTAAAACATTATTTAACGTTCAAAGGGGTGCGCTATTTTGGTGACCACGTATTCCATGATAACCCACACGCAAAGAAGATCCTGGGAGGCCGAGCAGACCATGAAGTGGCTGCAAGAGCAGGAGTGGGGCATCATGGTGCTTGATGAGGTGCACACCATCCCCGCCAAAATGTTCAGGAGGGTGTTGACGATCGTGCAATCTCATTGCAAACTAGGTTTGACCGCCACGCTGCTGCGAGAGGACGACAAAATCGCCGATTTGAACTTCCTGATCGGCCCGAAATTGTACGAGGCGAACTGGTTGGAGCTGCAGAAGCGCGGCTACATCGCCCGAGTGCAGTGCGCGGAAGTTTGGTGTCCGATGACGCCGGAGTTCTACAGAGAGTACCTGGTGTGCAAGACCAGCAAGCGGCTGCTGCTGTACGTGATGAACCCGAACAAGTTCAGAGCCACGCAGTTTCTCATCAGATACCACGAACGAAGGGGAGATAAAACCATCGTTTTCTCCGACAACGTGTTCGCTTTGAAGCACTACGCGATCAAGATGAACAAGCCTTACATTTACGGGCCCACTTCGCAAGGGGAGAGGATTCAGATCCTGCAAAACTTCAAGTTCAATCCCAAGGCAAGAACAACTTTCTATGTCGTTTTTGCCGCGGTTTTTTCACGACTTCTTTGCAGGTGAACACAATCTTCGTCAGTAAAGTGGCCGATACTTCTTTCGATTTGCCGGAAGCCAACGTGCTGATCCAGATTTCCTCGCACGGCGGTTCTCGTAGGCAGGAGGCCCAACGTTTGGGGCGTATTTTGCGTGCGAAAAAAGGCGCCATCGCCGAGGAATACAACGCATTTTTCTACACTTTGGTGTCGCAGGACACCATGGAGATGAATTATTCCAGGAAGAGGCAGCGGTTCTTGGTCAACCAAGGTTACAGCTACAAGGTACAATTTTTTAAATCGCCTTTTTAAACCTTTTTTTTTCGATTAAAAATATTTAAATTTATTTCATCAAAGGAATATAAACCATTTAAGAAATAATTTTTAAATAAAAAAAAAAAAATTGAAGGGGTTAGAATAGAAAGGGTATAAGTGCAATTTCTTTAATTTAGGAGATAAGTTCGTTTTGTGAAAGATAAGGTTCCGACGTATCGAAATGAAAAGGATTTAAGTAATTTTCATACTTCTAGGGACCTCTATTATCCAGTAGAAAAACATTACTAAACAAAATTCCTCACTTTTTTATGGTAACATAACTTTAACTTCAAATATCTCCAAAAAATGAAAATGTTACTTATACCCTTTTTATTCTAACCCCTTCAATTGTAACGGCAGCCATTTTTTTTCCTTCTATTCATGTTTTTTGTTCGCCCAATTTCCTTTTCGTTTTGTTGCAATTTTTTTTAATTTTTGAAAAAAAATCGTAACTCGAAAAGTTTCTGTCGGATCTGGCTCATTTTCAATAGGGAACGAATTACGGTCGCCAGGCAACTTTTCCTCAAATTTGGTAAAAAAATACCGACTCGTTCTCTTCGTAAGCGATTTCATAAAAACGTGCAAAATTTGACGAAAAAATAAAAAATCGGAAAAATGTACTTGTGCCTTTGTGACACTAAAAATATTTGGTCCAGAGTTCAAGTCTCGTTGGCACAAAATAAGGATAAAATTTTAAGTTTTTACATTTGTTGGTTTTTGAGCTACGCGGGTTAAAGAAATGCTCAAAAACTAACACAAAAAAAAATTACTAAAATAAGTCACAGAAGAAGAAAATATTTCAATTTTTTTTGAAATATTGCCTTTTTCACCTTATTTCGATAAAAAACATACAAATTTATTTACTTAAAGTAATGTGAACCAATTTAGTAACTTTTTTAAATTAAAAAAAAATTAATTGTTCTAAAAGCGATTTTGTTTTTATTTGATGGAGATTATATTTTAGTAAATTAAACTACATATTCATGGTTTTCGTGCACTCAATTTTTTTTTCGTTTAGTTGTAATTTTTTTTTAATTTTCCAAATAATCTAAAAAATATCGAAACTCGAAAAGTTTCTGACGGATCCGGCCCATTTTCAATAGGGAACGAATTACGGTCGGCAGGCAACTTTTCCTCAAATTTGGTAAAAAAATAACGACTCGTTCTCTTCGTAAGCGATTTCATGAAAACGTGCAAAATTTGACGAAAAAATAAAATTCGGAAAAATGCACTTGTGCCTTTGTGACACTAAAAATATTTGGTCCAGAGTTCAAGTGTCGTTGGCACAAAACAAGGATGAAATTTCAAGTTTTTACATTTGTCGGTTTTCGAGCTACGCGGGCTTAAATAAATGCTCAGACTAACAGAAAAAAAAATTACCAATATAAATCTCAGAAGAAGAAAATATTTAATTTTTTTTAAATATTGCCTTTTTAACCTTTTTTCGATACAAAAAACAATCAAATTTATTTACTTCAAGGAATATGAACCCACTAACTATCTTTTTTAAATTAAAAAAAATGGTCTGGCAGCCATTTTGTTTTTATTTGATGGAGATTATATTTTTGTAAGTTAAACTACATACTTTTAACCTTCAATTCACGGTTTTCGTGTGCCCAATTTCCTTTTCTTTTGGTTGTAATTTTTTTTTTAATTTTCCAAAAAGATCGACAAAAAATTGTAACTCGAAAATTTGTTGACGGATCCGGCCCATTTTTAATAGGGAACGAATTACGGTGGCCAAGCAACTTCTTCTCAAATTTGGTAAAAAAATATCGACTCGTTCTCTTTTTAAGCGATTTCATGGAAACGTGCATTTAAAAAAAAATTGAAAAAATGTACTTGTGCATTTGTGACAGCAACAAAGTTTGTTCCAGAGATAGGTCTTGTTGATACAAAAAAAAAGATACAAATTTTATATTTTTACATTCATTTGTTATCGAGCTACGCGGGTTTAAAAAAGTGTTTACAGACCAAAAAAAAATATTTCAAGTGAAGCCACTTATTGACCAACTTTTACCAAAAGGAATGAATATTGTTTTAATTTTTCGTTTATCGTCTCATTTGAGAAATTTCTACTCTAAAATAGAATTTAATCTATAACAGTAATTTGGTGTGTTTGGGGATATTACACATCATTTTTTTAGGTTATCACATCACTGGCTGGTATGGACGACGAACCAGATATGATGTATAAGACTAGAGAAGAGCAAGGTCAATTATTGCAACAAGTTAGATATATTTTTTTATTTATTTTACATTATTTGCTTAATTATTCTTTTAGGTTTTGGCTGCAAGTGATATAGATTGTGAGGATGAAAGAGTACCAGGGGAGGGTGGCATTAGGCCTGGGGCCAATAGAAAATCCGGGCATATGGGCTCAATGTCGGGAGCTGATGATGCAGTTTACTATGAGTACAAGAAAAACGCTAACTCTGGAAATAAGCATCCTCTATTCAAAAAATTCAGATACTAGTTTTACCTTAATTGTTTTTCAATATATTTTATATAATTTAGGTACTGTTTTACTACTACTATCTGCGGGAAATTATCTTTATTACCACATACAAAATTGCTTTATTTTAATTCTTAATGCGTATTTATCCAGCCCTTCAAAAGAAGGCCTTACAGGTGACTGGGCCATCATAGAACTACAGGGCGATCTAAAATCGCAAACAGACTCGAGTTTCGAGGGCCAATTTATAGGTGATCTGCATTTCACCAAGCAAGACAACCCGGTTTTAATCATAGGACACCATTTGATGTACGGGAAGGAGGCCAAGTTGGAAAAACCGTTTGCTTTAATGGAGAAAAAATCCAAAGGAGACGGGACTGAATATTTGGTCAAGTGTATTGTCACCAGGAAGATTATTTTTAAGACTAGACCTAAGCCTATTGTTGCCAAGAAAGTGTGATTTTTAGTTTAATAAATATTTTTTTTTATAGGAATACCTTTTCTTTAAAATAAAATAAAGTTGTTTTCTTCTACACTGGATCTTTTCTGCAATAATGGAGACATGGAAAATTTGTATAAAACCAATTATTTTACTTGTAATGTTTAAAAAGGAGATAATAAGGTAAGTAATATTCGAACTAGGCTGGCATTAGTTGACAGTTGTCAAATGTCATACAATATTTAAAATAAAGTGCCTCTCCTGTGAAATAATACTAAATGTGGAAATTATTTTCTTATCCCAATAGAAAATTATTAAACAGCTTCTTTACGCCAATCTTTAAAAGGTTTGTACTGACCTTTTGATTTTGCCGGCATTTAAAATTTCGGGTAAAGTACCCATAACATATCCTCTTCACTTTTACTGTAAAAAACCTGCTTCTATATAGTATTTAAACGGTTGTTAGTCCATTAGAAATAAATTTCGATGTTTACATAACAATTTGTCAACTGACTGCCATTTTAAACCAAGTTTGGTCTAGGATTTTAAAAGGCGGTAAAACAGATCTACAGGTTACTCTATTTTTGTATAGATGTCGGTCTATGCAAATATTTAAATTAATAATTATAATATTTGTCGTAGAAAAATAATAGTAAGCAACTTTTTTCTACTCCCACCTTTAAAACGCCCTTTATCGTACATGTTTCCATGACACTAAGTGACCTTTTAAATACACATTGACAAGTTGTGGCTTTATGGCGCTTTAGTCACGAGCTGAAGTTAGTTTTAAGTTAGTTGACAGTTGTCAAATGTCATACAATCGTTAAAATAAATTGCCTTTCTTGTAAAATAATACTAAATGTGAAAACTATTTTATTATCTCAATACAAAAATACAAAAGTATTAAATAGTTTCTCAACGCCAATATTTGAAAAGTTTATATGAACATTGTACTGACCTTTTAATTTCGCCGGCAGTAAACTATAACTTAAATTCGGGCACGGACTCCACTGTAAAGTTATCATAAAACATTTTCTTTACTTTCACTGTGAAAAACTGTCAATTTTCAAGAAATACATTTCGATTTATAACCATTATAATCTAATAATAATGTGACATTTAAATTAATTTAATTTAAGCACTCGCTGCCCAAATTAAATTCGTATATAAAATGGCGTTTATCCAACTTTATATATAGTATACTACATATAGTATACTATTAAGTTCTAATAATTTATAAAAAGATTGGTTTATCTTCTCACGCGCTTTTTAAAGCGATTCTATTCATAAATCATTCAAAAATGCATTTTTGTGATGAGTTATCTCAAAAACTATAACTATTTTACAAATTTACAAAATTAAAAACAATTTGTGTAGTCCAATAAATGGCGCAGGAACTATATATGTTATCTTAAAAATATGTTTTATTAACAATATGCAAAATTTATTTTGAATTTAAAGTTGTCTACAAGATAACAAAAATTAAAATTACAAAAGACATTATATTTCTTCTACTACATTATAATGTTGTGTGTTTTCCTCGTTTTAATTTCCTTAGTTTGTAAAACGAATGGACAATTCTGTAAGTTTATAATTATAATGTATTATATTATCTATAACAAATTAGCAGTGTTTTTTACTTTAAACATGATTATCTTAAAACTAAACAAAATGTACTTATACACCTTGGCTTCTAGGGTCCTCATATATAGATTAGAATTTTGACGTTTTTGAAGCAAAAATAAAAAACGCATATTTAGTTGCAGTGTGTCGGGGTGTGTACAACACTTGTCCGTCGATAGATGGCGCTTACCCCGTGTACATCCCCCTCCCGAACTGCAATCAGTACTGCGAATGTTCCTGGGGCACCCCGTATTTGTACAACTGCCCCAGCGGGCTCTATTTCGACTCGACTTACAACGTATGCGATTTACCGGAAAACGTAGAGTGCGGGGTGCCGGCGAAAAAAACTCCAACGCCCACTTCCTCTTCGATTTGCTTCGACTACGGCAGCTGTCCAGCGTACGATGGACAGGGATCGGTGTATTACGCGTTGCCGGACTGCACGAAATTCTGCCAGTGTTCTAATGGTGCGCCGTTTTTGTTTTCTTGCCCCGCTGGGCTGCATTTCAATGAGAATTTTAATGTGTGTGATTGGCCTGTTGATGCCGATTGTGCTTAATAAATAAATGTTATACACAAACGACAATTTTATTTATTTATTTACCTACAATAAGCTTACATATAATAAGTAAAAAGAAATTCATGCAATCCCTGATAGCAAAATTTGATTCTAAGAATCTTCTAAGAAGATATGACCCGGAATAATGGAATATTCTTAGAACCTTCCCTTATTGCTAAGAATGTTCTTAGGGACTTTTAAAACATTCAATAGATACCCTTTTAATGATGCAATTAGATTCTTAGAAGCTTCTTAAAACCTTCCTAAAAAGCATTATAAGAACATATTAAGAATACGTTTTTGGAATGTTCTTAGAAGGTTTCTTATGGAGCTTCTAGGAAGCTTTTGAGAATATTTCCAAATATGTCAGATACCCACGTTCTAATATGTTGGATTCTACATTCGTAAAATTTTTCAGGAGGCGACAAATACGCCTCACTGTCATAATATGACATTGAAATTGTCGTCCCCTTAAAAAATTTTGCGACATATTAATATATATTTATTTAAAAATATTACCAAAAATAAACCATAAATTGTATAACATTATTTCATAAAAAGTAAAATTGGAAAATTTTGTGGGATAAGTCAGATTAAATTGGAGTTGAAGATAGTTAGGATTATTATACATAAAAATGTTAATTCCGAAATAAAACATAGGTATACAAATTAATAAATATTTAATTTTAACATAAAATAAAATATAAAAAAACAAAATATTTTCTTATAAAATAATTCTTCATAAAAGAAAAAACCAAATAGTTCTTCATAAAAAAACATTTTTCATTGTATTTAAGTTGGATAGAAGATTTTATGTAAAAGCCGGATAATTTAGATACCTATAGTAAAAGTATTTTTGTTATCGAATATTGTTTTAATTTGACAAATAACTATAAAAAAATATTTTGGGTTGTGTTTTTTACTTAGTATTTAATACTAAGTATAGGTACCTTTATACGTAGATTATGGTATTTTTTACTATTTTTTAGGTACCAAACTGAACTGAATATGCTTAACAGAATGTTCCAGGAATATTACTAAATGAACTTTCTATAGCAATTACTTTCTCAACATTCTAAGCATATGTTTATAGTGGATTAATTTTTACCACTAAACTTTGCACCTTCTAAGAACCTGCCTATAGGCCAGTGAGAATATTCTTACGATTATCCTATATTACTTTTAAGCATGTTCTTTAGAAGAAATATAGCATGATCCTAAGAATATTCTCACTGGAAGGTTTAAAAAACATTCTTAGAACATGACTAGAAGAAATATAGCATGATCCTGAGAATATTTTCACTGGAAGGTTTAAAAAACATTCTTAGAACATGACTAGAAGAAATATAGCATGATCCTAAGAATATTCCCAATGGAAGGTAAAAAACATTCTTAGAATAAACTGTGCTATCAGGGATGTTAAATCATTGAATTATTACTTGTAGGTATACATACCTATGTTTGTGGTTATGTGTGCTGAAAGACGTGCTAATTAGGAAATTCAGGAACGGTGTAGGTAGGCGTGTTGTGTGCGGATGTGAGCAATGCAAAGGGAAATGTTGCATTGCAAACTTCATGTGATATTGCTCCAGATTAATTAGGTTTACCGGCTATTCAATTAGCAGAGACTCGGCGCAATAAAAGATTAATAATGTGGTCCCTGTGACACGCCAGTGGCGTGGCCTCCAGGTGCAAGTTAACCGCATAAATTGATTAAGAAACTAATCTAACTATTTAAATTTAAGTTCGGAAGTAAAATTTGTTTTTTGTAGGTTTCCAAGTGTTTTATGTTGGGTTGAGAGAATTTTGGGCAGATGTCGCCCCAAGTATTACATTTCTATTTTTAAAATAACTACTATGGGTTTTAGGAAACCTATAGGTACTTTTCTTTTTATTCAATTTTGTTAATAATATAAAATAATGCCTAAAACTGTAGAGTTATTATTGCAGAGTTATTATTATTAACTTGGGATTTATATTTATTTTTAACGGATTAATGGACTTTAATGAAAACAACATATTTTAAAAATATAATTTTAATTAATTAGATACAAAGAGGTCTCTTATTATTTTATAATAAATCTACTTGTTAAAAAGTTATTCAAGCTTTTAAAATTACATTATAAATTTCAGTATGAATAGCAGTCATTTTTGTAAGTTTTTATAAATCTGACACAAAATATCCACCAAAAATATTAATATTATTGGTTGCTAATCGCGATTTTACTTTTAGGTACATGAGATTTTTTTATTTTGAAATTATATAACTTGTTAACGGATTAATGGACTAAAATGATTATAACTTTTATTTATACACCTTGTATAAATGCTGGAATGTTTTATTTATGCTATTCATTTATTTTATGAAAAATAAGTGTTATTTTTTCTTGTTTTTTTTTATTATTAGATAATTATTGATAGGTCCCCAAAGTACGAATTGATTAGTTTACACAACGTGTTGAAATTATTTTTATTTATGGTGCACCAAATCGTTGTGCTCCACGAACTACAGTGGTATTTATTGAAGTACACCCTGGCAAAAATGTGCGTCATAAATATGTTCAAGTTCAACTATAGTTGCAAAATTTGAACAAGCGGGATCTGTTTGCAATAGAAAAAGAAACCAACCTAAAGTCTATTCAAATCCAAGCTGGACTAAACAAAAACGCCCAGACGCGTGATAACTCGTTTCTATTGGTCGATTCTGATGGTGCGACTCGGATTGTGAGCTCTTATTGGACGATTCGGAGGATTGTGTTTACATTTGGTCCAGCTTGGATTTGAATAGACTAGGATACTCAATGAAGCCACCCATATTGAGGTAGATGAGTGTACTTTTTATCTAAATGGAAATGTTAACAAACAAAATTGTCTTTATTGGAGCAATGAAAATCCTTATTTTATCACAGAAAATTATACATACTATCCTTAATGTTTGGGATGGAAGATTGTATTATTGGTCCCTTATTTATTGATCAAAATTTGAATGGTCAAATTAATTTAAAATGTTATATAAAACAATCCAGCCACTAATAATAAACTAACTAGAAAATCAATAAGGAGAGGATGATGAACTAGCATTGGATGAAAAATTATTACCTACATTTTTAACAAGATGGTGCACCACCTCATTATGTAGTAGCTGTTGGGACTTTGCTGTATCAGAATTATCCAGAACAGTGGATTGGTAGAAGAGGACCAATGTTATGGCCTTTCAGATCTCCATATCTGATACCATTAGACTTTTTCTTATAGGGTCACATAAAATATGTTGTCTACACAACTCATTCTATTAAAGATCTGCGACAACTATTAGTTCAAGAATGACAAGCTATTCCACGACAAACATTTCATTTTCGTAGTAATGATTCCCTTCACATATCCTAGAAACGGTTTTTAGGCAATTTACCTACCTTATACCATATGATTTAGACATATCCCTTATTTGTAATTACTGTGTTTTTGCATTCGAATGTAATTCGTTTGGTTAATTCGCTTTACGCAGCACAAAGTGATGGGTTGTGTTGGCCGGGGGAAGGTAGTAATTTAATTTTTCCTCCTTGCAAACCGCTTATCTTAAAGTTGGCCTGTAATTGAAAACGTGTCCCTTTGGACCGAAGCTCGGCCAAACTAAACCGATCCCGAAGCTTAACTACATAATCGGTTACGGTATTGGATGCAAATGCACGTCCTGAGACTTTGTTGTGGTCCAGTCTGGATGTAACTGACATCCTACGACCGCCGATATGCATTAAACATAAACCAAATCAATAGAATTTGCAACTGCCCGCCAGTTAAGTCTTTATTGGCGGTTTACATTACTAAAAAAATTACTTTGAAGATAGTTTACCTGCAGTGTCTAAAAGTTCAGCTTGAAAAACTGTCGTATCAATGTACGCAGGTTCTGTTTTTGCGGAAAAGAATAAACAAAATTTTAATCCACATTCGGGTTGTTTCGGCTTAATCCAAGTTGAGTAATAGCCGTTGCGGGGTATGAAAACGAAAATATAGGCATATTTTGTCACCGAGACAATGAGATATTGTGGTCGCTGCTCTGTTGTTGTTATCTTCTGAATTAATGGCAATTGTAACGGTGCATTTCTCTTATTGGAAAAGTTTACAAGCCAACAAAATGAAACGAAGGATGTTTTAATCCTTCGCGCAAAAAATTGAATACGTGAACGTGGTTAAGTTAAATTAATTGCCTTTTCCATATAAAGAAGATTAACGTCACTTTTATAATAATATGGTATTTTTTATTTTTAAAACAGGACTGAGGAATAAGCTTCGATGGGTCAAATTTATTGTTTACGAATTTTTCCAAGCCGGCAATTTTTCAATTTTTACAGCTTTGTTAATACTAGGGAAAAGATTCGTCACAAAATCTTTATCTTGTAATAATCTCTTATTAGCGTTAATGAAATAGTCAAATTAGTACATTTAAATTAAAAAAAAAATCTGTTCCAGCTGGGGTTTGAACTCTGATCTGTTGCTTGTCAAGCGTATGTAATAACCAATGAGCCATCAGTCACTTTTATAAAAATCAATTTTATTTGTCCATAAATATTGCTTATACTATTTTAAAGTTGAATATATTTTTTGGGTTGCTGTTTTGAGCTAAACTTCTTGCATCTTTATTTGTTTTTATGGGCCATTTAACCATTGAGCCTATATGCATTTAAACTTTAACTATTTAAGTGGTGAAAAATAATTATTTAAAAGTGAAAACGACTATTTTATTAGTAAAAAATGCTGGTACTAATTCAAATAGTAGAATTTTGACTATTTTATTTTAAGAGAGCAAGTAAGTCCTTTGGTCATTTTTAAAGCCCGTATTTTAGTGTTACTTACTTTTATACATCTTCCTTTAAACAATATTGTTCAAATATTTATTTTTGACCATCGAATCCCCTTAAAAATCAGGTTTAGTAATAATTATTGTGAACTCGAAATATTGGCTAGAATTCTTGAATTGTCTATCCTTTAACTGGACGTGGACAAAGTTTTTAGTTGGA